AACATGACAAAACATACATATAGCATAATCAATACCTTACCCTTCCCGAACCACATAAACAAACAAACTACGGGCTGCGCACCCGTGCCCTCACGGTAAGTCAATTCTTTTTCACTTTTACTATCTACCTACCACTACTCCTAAGCCCATACAATGGACCCCTGCAAGCATAGCTACCTCTCACAATCAAGAGGACGCATGTTGACCCCCCACCCCTAATAGGTGGTGGTCAAGAAGTAGGGTGGGGCTGCTGGTGGGAGGGACCCGCTAAYGCAAAGACAAAGCGTTTTTCTCCAGTAGCTGCACCTTGCATCTACTGCATCCCCCACCCACTCCCATCTAGTAACAGCAATGCCTAAGGYCGGCGCTCTCACATAGACATGACAACACACTCCAAATRCACACATACACCCGTATTATCTACYGCGGGGGCATGGGGAACGCAGCCGCAAGGGATGATGCAAGTTTTAGAAAGCGAAACGGGAAAAAAACTTGATTTGAGGTTGGAGTGATGCTTGAATGTCAATTGTTTATGTGTAAAGGAATAATATTTGAAGAACGACATTTTGCTAAATGGTGGCTAGAAGACTATTCAAAATCTCAGTGTCATTGAACCAAAGTAGTGACATTGATTGACAGGTTAGTAARAGTGATCCAAAGTTCATTAGTCATTGCCAGTGTCTTCGTCTTATGACAGAAAAAGAGTGAGACCATMTTTTTACTGAAGCTGTGGAAACTATAAAAAGTTGTTCATGAAGCGAAGTTTGACAATCTAACAATTTATTAGCCATTACATMACTTAAAAAGTAATAAAAACCTTAAAAACACATTCGTGTTGCCGAGCGCGTCGGTCCCTCACGGGGACCCTCTCGACTGTGTCACGCAGGATTTTGACACTTCGAGACGCAKAGCGATGTAGGAGCAGTGCCGCTCCGGCCGAGTGCGCCAGCCATACCTCTCGTGAACCCTACGACAGGATAGGGTCATGCGAGGTACAACTTACCTCCAYCCGCGGGAGCCGTCACCTCCCTAGGTGGGCGTATCCCTGCCAAGCTACTGGTCCATACGYGAGAGCTTTTACGTTTAGTTGTAGAKGTGGATCAACCGAGGGCGTTTCTCGTTCGTTGTAGCATAGGGGTTACGTGCAGTTAACGCCTGAATTGGACCCGTATGCAAATTGACGCTTGAGGCGTTCATCTCCCACACGCGATCCTACACCGATCGACTAGGATGACCAGTCTAACCATGCAATACACTTCTCTAAGAAACTTAAGTCCATGTGCAAAAATCAAGTTRTCGGCACAAATACCCTCACAAGGGTATTTGTCTTTTTTATTACCCCCCCCACGAGCCGCATGTGTAGTGATATGTGAGGTGGTGACATTGTTATTTTTTCATAACCCGTGACCAACTTCTAGAAGCCAAAACAACGAGCGCGAGTATGGTTGAGTTAGAGAGTGTGTGGGCATGCACTTTGGGGTGCGCGTTGTCTAATGGTTTCGTCAACCGACGGTGTGACCAGTGATCTCACACAAAAGTGCGAGGTAGAGAGATTATTTTTTTATTAATATGATCGCATGAACTAYGTGCATGTGCRCGTAGAGRCCAACATTCTAATAGTCGACGTCAAGGCGGACTGTCGGTACCGCAATTTCATATAATTTGATTTGTCTAAAGCGACATTTGAGTTCGTCGACGGAGTGTGTGAGGCGCTTTGATTGTTATGTTTTTTGCTTATCGAGAGAATACTCCTACRACCTCARCGAGGCRTGCGTAAACAATATTCAGCATGGGTAAAARSYGAGGTTTTTGCGCCGTCRAAAACAATAAGGGTGCGGTTTTAGAAGGGYGAGACCGATTCGGCAGTGCGCATTGATAGTGGCACGATTTTGGCGTGATAGGTGGTGTGCACGACGACCATGAACGAAACCTGCCTCTCCATGCATGCTTGGCGGCGGTGGGTTCCGTCGACAGGCCAAGTTATGGCCTTGACTCCGTTCGGTAGGCCAAGGTGCGAACTTGGGGGATTCTGGTAGGCCTAGACCGGGAAAAGTTCTCTTTATATTACATTCCATGTCCGCTAAGCTCAGACTTGAGCCCAACTTTATTGGTTACGACATTGGACTATCATACTGCATATATGGGGAATCGAGGCTAGCGAGTGGCGACGAAGCAATGAAGCACGTTGAAGGAGACTGAGGGGTTGAGGGTCTTGCGAGACTATCCCCTTTGCTTTTGCAGTCGGTCCCTAGTG